ATGTTACCAAACCTAATACATACTTCCAATTCTCTATATTAGTAGATATCTTTGTAATAGCCAACAATATTGTAAAGATGTATAAGTAACAGTAAAGAGCATAAAATTGCAGCCAAACTGCCAGAGTATGAATGTTTGACCATTTACTACCTAGGTGATCTTAGAAAATGTTACTCACTCTGTGTCTCAGATTCCTCAGCTGTAAAGTTGGAATAATTGTATCTATCTCATAGACTTGTTATGAAGATCATAAAAGTAGAATGATTATAAAAATGCATTGCACATTGTAAGTACTATATTGATGGCAACTATTGTACTTATCATGCTATTATTGTATTATTATTATTGATCACTCTCATCTTTTTGAAACCCTTTACCCTTTCAATATATTAGCCAAAATGTGTTCAATCAATATTCAGTAACAATCCTAAAATATCAGTGTCCTAAAACCACAAAGGTTTCTTTCTCATTCACACTATTTGTCTATCTCAGGTTGTGGGAGGGATGTTCTCTTCTATGCTATCTTTAATAAGGGACACAGAATGATAGAGCCAAGGCCACCTGGCATAATGCTACTCACTGTGGCCAAGGGAGAGGAACATGGAAAATCATGTACTGGCTCTTAAGAGTTTCTAATCCTTAACAGATACATACTACTATATACAAAATAGATAAACAACAAGACCCACTGTAGAGCACAGGAGACTATATTCAATATCCTGTAATAACCTATACTGTCAAAGAATCTGAAAATATATATATAACTGAATCACTTTGCTGTACACCTGAAACTAACACAACATTGTAAATCAACTATACTTTTTAAAGAAAGATAAATGAACTTTATGACCAGTGCTGCAAATTCATCCTGAGTAAAATGATACTTAATTTTATGAATTAAAAAGAACAATATTCTGGTTCCTGAGTGATCACTGTGTTTCCAGAAGGTACTGATATGGAAGCAGTTATAATAGATTCCACTAACTGCAAAATTTTTGCACAGAGATGAAAATAAAGAAATGTACATGTTAAAAAAACAAAAAATAAATAAAATTTCCAATCCTCCCTCAGAAATCACACATGTTATTTCCACTCACATTTGGTTAGCCAAAGCAACTCACTTGTCTAAGGCTCTATGGAAGTGAAATACTAACATATACCCAGAGGGAAGTGAACTGGAAATATTGGAAGTAGCATTATTGACTACCACACTTAGCTTTCAAGATACTACACACTAGTGGTTCTATTAACACCTTCCTTTCTTTTCCTTTTCGGTCTCCATCATAGGTTCCTCTTTCTTCCCTTCTGCTTTAATGATAGTGATGCTACATGACTGGATGCTTGGCATGATTTTCCTCTCACTCTACATACTTTCCTGAAGTGATCACATGCATTCACATGGTTGTCCCACCATACTGACAATACCAAACTTTATAACTCTTGCTTGTGTCTCTCTCCTGATGTTATGGCTTGAATATCCAACTACTGTTAGACTTCTGTCCCTGGATAATCTACAATCTTCTTAAACTTATCTTGTCCAAAATTAACCTCACAGATTTATTCTATCTAAATTTTTCCTAAATCTCATATGATCTACCCCAGTTCGTAATACCATCAGTTACCCATTTTACTTGGGTGCCTTCTACCTTAATTCCTCCTCTTTGCTCTCATTCTGACATTGGTTGTTTTCACTGTCTATTTCCTCAGTGTATTTCCCCATCTCCATCTTAATCCACTGCTCTGAATTAGAACTTCACCACTCCTCATCTAGACTATTTAATCTGTCTCCTAACCAGCTTTCCTATTTCCAGTCTTGTTCCCTACAAATGCATTCTTTACACAGTAACTAGGATGCCATATATAACATTTAAAAAAATTGACCACCTCCTTGTCTTGCTTATAATATACCATTCAGTTTCCTGCAACTGCTCAGTTGGTTTTCTCTACCTGGAATGTCCTTCCTCTCTTCCTTCCACTTTCCACATACAATTTTCCTGACCACATTCTACTTACCTAATAAAGCAAAAATTAATGCCAGTACTAATAATCAGGAACTTAGGTGTTGCTTCATCCAGGGACTCTTTGCTCAACTTGATCCAGAAGAATGAGTTAGATGACCCTTTTCTATTCTTTAATAATTACTCATAACTTTATCATTTCAGTTAATTTTTTGTGGTTATCTATTAGCCTTTTCCCCGTATTACATTGTGACTGTCTTAAGGACAAAGACCATATCTTCTTAATGTTTGCATAGCCAGAACCTAGTCCAGGGCCATGTATGTATTAGGAAGTCAAAACACGTTTGGTGAATGAATAAATGAATGGATGAAAAATACTAATCTTTCTTCCATCTATAATTTCTCTCCCTCCAGTGTCCCTTTCCC